AAACACAATTGCCACACCTACCATGCATACAATACCAAACATACATGCCATACATACCATACCTACCTTACATAGGAAACATTCCATACCCATCATAGTAACCATACTAACCATACATCCATACATACTGTCATATCAAACATACCATACCCAACAGACTTACATACCATATTTACCACCCACACAATAACAACCATTCATGCCATACATAGCATACCTACCATACATACCAAACATACCATGCCATACCAGACCGACCATACATACCATACATACCCAACATACCATACCACACCCCCACCACACCACAGGGGGAGAGGGGGACAGTACCACACCCCCACCACACCACACGACACCACAGGGGGGGGAGAGGGACACTACCACACCCCCACCACACCACAGGGGGGGGAGGGGGAAGATCTCATATGGGGGCAGTATATGGACCCATCCCATGGGGGGGGGAGGGGGGGGTGGCAGGGCCTGGTGCATATATATATATATATACACACACACATATATATATATATTTACAATCCCTTCCCCCTATTACTAAACGTCACCCAAATACTAAAAACTAGGGTCCATCTCTAATTTTAGAAAATTTCAGATTGGCCAATTTGACTTCTAATTGACCCCCTTTAGAAAACAATTTATGTATGGTAGGTACGGCATATGTTCAACACATGTAGTGTTGTGAGAGTACACAGGTAGTAAATAGGAAGCAGATACATAGCACATGTCTATATGACTATAGGTGGCACGTAGGTACTTTGAGGGAGTATGTGTGCTACGTAGGTCGCCTAAAAGGTAGCATGTACCTAGTAAATGCGAGGCTGGTAGTCAGAAATGCTGCAAAGACCTAGCAAATACGAGGCTGGACCTCAGAAATGCTGCCAATAGCTTGCAAATAGAAGGGAAAGGGGGGTGCTACCTGGGGACCCAACCCAAGGGGGGGGTGGAGACGGAGGACGGGACCATATATATATATATTTATATTTTTATTTATTTATTTATTTTGATATATATATATATATACAATATATAATTATCGCGTTTTTCTCTGAAATAACTATCAATAACTGGGGTGTAAATCCTTTCCAAGAATGACAACGGAGGCTAAGACAGGCGCTGAAGCCACCCGGCTTTAGTCACCCGTTGGCCAATGGGGTTAGGAAAAACATCATCCCAACCTTTGGCAATCAAACATAGTCAAACGTGGCTATGGGAAAATCATCCGTCAAATTGTGACAAAGGGGATTTCCAATGCCATGATTGAAGCCCAAAGGGTAAAAACCCTCTGCATTTTTCATTGGCCCCAACCTTTTTGGGGTTTCCGGTTCCGCTGGGTCAACCGGGTCTGTTTGAAACAAAAAAACTGGCCTACCAGCATCGAGCAATCCGAAAGTGGCCCGACCAATACGATCCGTAGCTCAGATTTACACACCTACAGAACCGCTACTTGAATCTAAGGTCGTCACGCAACATGTGGGTTTGGGAGGAGACAGGATGCCTATGGATACCTCAAAAATCCAGTGGTTGATCATCATATTTCCCGTGATTTGACGGTTCTTTGGGGGTATGCCGCCTATACTACCCCTTTTTCAGCCGCACCTGACACAGTATCTTCTCACTATCCTCAGCTGATGGCGGGCTGCCCAGGTTTTTGCTCTTTTGGCGGCTGCAAGTGCGAATTTGAACCAATGGGTCTCAAAGTGATGCTCAAAATCGGATGGCTGAGTGAAATGCTGAAGATGGTTTGACAATCCCATGTGTGTTATGTCTTTTATCGTGCAACATACCATTATTGGTGCGTTGGTACTCCATTCCTGAGCCCCTAAAGCCAAGTAGCTGCCCCAGCATGGGACATGTTTGGCGACGTCGTTCAATAACCGCCCTTAGGAGCGTGGCATGTCAGCGTGAATTAGCTTCAGTTCCCGCAACGTCTTGGGAGATGAGCAGTGGAGTACTCCAATTTAGGGGGGTTATTTTCCCACATTATTAGGCTTTCGTATTGAGTGGCATGAAAGTAGTATGAGAATAAGGGTCCCATCATTAGGGGTCCTATAAATTCCATCAATTGTTTTCCAATGTGTGGCTGTTCGAATATATGTTAATCGTGAACTGTGAACATATATTGCGCATATATTGTGTGAACATGATAACTAAGCATGGCGTCAAAAATGGTATACCATGAGCTACACAAACTAGACAATTGACTTTACAATGATCTGTACAAATTATATAATTGATTATATATGACAACTCCTGAACTGAAGAAATTGGGGGTGGTTACCCCTACTAACTGTCACTCCAGTGACGGCACATTGAGGTCCTTATAATTTTTGCGGAATGATGATGCATTCCAGTGGAAGCCAGTTTCGCTCCACGTCAGCAGGAGGTGAAGCCTGTAAAAAAAGGGAGGGGGTGCCGGGTGTTGTGAGCGCCACAAATTTGTCATGCAAGCCGCCCTTTTTATACAACACATCATGCTTGCTGCCTGCAGAGCATGAGACATAGATCATAGATGATATAAATATGCGCAAGGACATCAGCCAAGACACTTAAACAGGTCAGAAAACTCAATTCCATGTTATACATATATATATATATATATGTCAACACATGAAGTTAACCATATGTTAACCTTTTAATGAAAACATTTCAATCATATGAATCACATGGCATTGTCCAACAATTCTTGCACATATTTCAATGAATTTGCGCAGTCTACGCAGGCGCCAGACACAATTGGCAAAATGTCCTGAGTAGCTGCTTGTGCCTTACGAATGTTGGCACGGCTATGGTACAGCTTCCGAGCAGGTGTCGAGGTATAAGATGATGACGATGCCGATGAAGAAGAGGATGAGTTCACAGACTTCTCACTGTCATGAGTTGTGCGATCTGGCTGGGTCATCAAAGCCTGCCCTTCGACCCCATCATCAGAGGCCAAAGCCACGTCCTCGGAGATCAGGGCCCCAGGTGTCGGAGAGAGTGGAGAAGCGGGAGGTTGCTCATCAGGCTTCTTGTCTTCCACATCATTCTCAACGGTCAAAGCCATAGGCACTAGAGCCTGTGGAGAACTGGAGGCAGCAAGTTGCTCATTAGGCTTCTTGTCTTCCAAAGCCAGCCTCTGGTCTTGAGGTTGCTCATCAGGCTTCTTGTCTTCCAAAGCCAGCCTCTGATCTTCCAATGCTGGGCATGGGGATCGAGATGCAGATGCAGTACGGGCACGCTTCTGTTCGGATTTCAGAAGCCACTGCAGCAACTTGGCTTGAGCTTCACCAGTCCACCCACCATTGGCACCAACCACGAGTTGAAAGCCACGCTGGATGTTGCAAATTTGCATCTGGATCCGACGGGCGGTGATGGTGGCCTTGGACGGGTGCACCAGCAAGGTGCCATCTGCAATCTGTGGGATAACAACTTCAGGTTCTGGAGGGGTACCAGGTTGTTGCCCTGCGTTAGCTTGGGGTTACAACTCCAAGACCATTTTTTTGCCTGGCATCAGAATGGCTCGTCCACGCACATCCATGGCTCAGGGGGTGTTACTTACAGGGCCAAAGTTCAGGATATCTGGAGCCACGTACACTTCCGAAGACAAGATCGGAAACTTCCGAAGACAGGTACGGAAAATTCCTGCACAGAGATGTTAGTGAAGGCACCAAGATATAACATGACTAAGGATTAATTTGGATTAATCCTAAATTGACTAGTTCTTGAAGCGATCTTAATTAGGCAGCTGGTTTGATTTTGACAAGCATTGCTTTCAACAAAAGCCAGCTAAGACTACATGCCAAGTTTTACTTGGGACACATGGAACGAGACTTTGCATTCTTCCTAGATGACAAGATAGATGACAAGGGCTGAGCATATGGGTTATGGAAGAGAATTGCTTCCTCCACCCAAAATTTGTGAGAATGCGGGCGCAGACAATTGAGAAATAATTTCAATGGTCGAATCCAGGCATTGAAGGTCTCAGACATGTTGGTGCGGACATTCTTGGCGCGTTTCTTCTCCTTGGGGGTCCAAGTTGATTTGGAGCAACGATGGTTTTTCATGTGAAAAAAAGCAACCATGTAGCACTTGATGTTCTCAAAGCCTTCGCACTCATACTTCTTGACATAACTTTCGAAGTGGCATGCATCATCATGGAGCAAGAGGTCAGCAGAAACCAAGGGCATAGAGAGCACCTGCTGAAGGAGGTCAACCTTATCTTCATTCCGCTCATTGATACGATGTTCATAGGCACCTAGCACTTTCCCAGTGCAAGGGTCCACAGCAAATTGCCAACCAGCAGTGCGATCGGGTAGAACTTGTCGAACAGAATCCTTCTTTGCACAGTGACAGGAGCGGCCATGCTCATAGAGCAACTTCATGGGCCGTCCTTTGAGAGGAACTTGTCGAGGTGACTCCACTAGTGTCAACAAAGCTCGATGGACTCCAAAGTGACCATCAAAGCCAACAGAAGTCACAGGCACAGATGGAGGAAAGAGCATGATTGGCTTGGCGATTTTGATCACAGTCACGGCCGGAAAGTCAAGGTTGAATTCAACAACCTTATCTGGCTGGCGCTTGGCCACTGCGTACCCCTCAAGGGCATGCAACAGATGCTTGCGCAAGGAGTCACTCCAGAAGATTTCAACATGATCTCCATCTGCAATGTCCCTCACAGCTGCCTCTTGACCAGGGCTAGTCTTGGCACGCAGAAGACGAAGGTAGCATAGCTCCAGGTACTTCATGGTGAAGGCTGTGTTGGAAGTAACAAAATACAGCCCACTCTTCTGAAGCTGGTTGAAGGTCATGCAACTGATCTTCTGTCCTCCAAGCCAGACAAAGTTGCAGCGCATGTAGAGCCGACATTTTGGACAGTATTTGGCCTGAGAAGCAATGGCAGTGATGGACTCACTGCTGAAGAGCCGCCCTTATGCAATACTGCGGGACTTCTTGCAAATGAGAGCGCGTTGACAAAATGAGCACTTTTGAAGGCTAGACTTGCTGGCTCATGTCAGCATCATCCAAGATGTCTGGACGCTCACGAAGACCAGGTTCTCCATGGAGCTGATCAAAGCTGGAGGCAATGCGGAAACTTGGCTGCATGTTCTCAGCCGTGTCACCGCGCAACAGCCAATATTCAGAGAAAGCCATTGCAACTGCCGAAGCAGCTGGTGTTTCCCTGCTCCCGCATTTCCCAGAAGAACCAATGTTTTGTTCTTCATGTCTGGCAGCAGGGGAAAGATGACATCCTCCAGAAACCAGGCGCTCAGGTCATGCATGGTGAGATAGAAGTTGAAGGCGGGCTGCACAAAGACATTGCCAGTGGCATACCCTTTGAGATACTCCTTGACCAAGCCAGTGTTCCAGCCGTAGATTGGGCTTCCATCCCGGTTGACCTCTATTTCTGCCCACTCAGTCCACTGGTTCTTCATGTTGCTCTTGAGGCCCTCACTCTGGATGTAGGAAAAGCCTTGCTCCAAGGCAGACTTCTCCTTGCATTTGCTTTTGGGCGTTGCTGTGAATTGGAAAGCAAGGATGGCATAGTCGGCAACCTTTTCGAGCAGGTACTGGAAACCTTGAGAGCCTGACCGGAAATTTTTGCCATAGTCTATGGTGAAGAGATCTCCAGTAGCAACCCGCTGCAGCCCGCGCACATCAATCTTCTGGGAGAAGGTGTAATGCTTCAGGACTTCGTATGTGGTGTCATTCTGCTTGCGGAAGACCAGCTGGAAAGTGAAGGGTATGGGCAGGGCATCCTTGAGGGCCAAAGGCTGTGGAAGATTCTGGTATGACTTGCTGCTGACCAGATCTGCAATGGTATCCAACTCATCACCCTCCGTGGGTTCATAGAGCACCTTTTCAATTGCAGTCTTCAGCTTGGTGTTGCCTTCGATGGGCTTCAATGGCAAGGCTGTCAGCTCATAAGTCGGTTCCAGCACGCGACCCACAGGATGCTCCAAGCTCGTGCATTGAAGGCACCCTGCAGCTACACACGCCTGGTTGAAGAGGCCAGCCATGATGACGACGAAGCAAAGAAAGGCAAGGCTACAGATGACAGCTGTGACCCAAAGTATGACTGCTTATTTGACAGATGATGCGTTAGAGAAGGGATGAAGCAGAATTGATCTGGATTAATCTGGATTAATCTTGGGATGCAAAACTTCGAAAAAAACAAAAAACAAAAAAGCAAAAAAAAAAAAGATTTGGCAACTAATTAGTCCAGACATCAGAGTAGTTGTGGAAACATTGTTTTTTTTTGTGTTTTCTTTTGTTCGCTCCAGTCGAAAGGAAGAAGTCGCGAGTCAATCCGCGAATCTTCGCAGGACTAAGCACTGCGAAGACGACAATTTTGCAGTTCGGGTTAGACGGTTGTGCAGTTCGGGTTGGAGGATTTTGCAGTTCGGGTTAGACAGCAGACAGCAGACATTGGTTGCTTAGTATATCAAATGATTCGTCCTACTTACACAGGCTGTTGTGAGCGCAAAAAAAACATGAAACCTTCCATAGTATCAAGGCTATATATGCCCAAAATTTCGTGTTTTTAGCGCTCACAACACCCCTTTCTCGGGTTGTAAAAAAAAGGGTCCAACTGCGACCTCCTTTGATCAAGAGGTTGAACTGGGTCGAACTGGTTCTGGAAAATGATGTTACGCAATCCCCTCCGCCGTATATTAAATCAAACCCCGGATTTTTATGTTTTTTCGTTTTGAGGGCTCATATGGTTGTGTTATATATATATACATATATATATATAGGATGAATAGCGATAGTTGGGTTCCGTGTTAAATCTAGGGTATTGGAGATATCATTGGAGGAAAAGAAGGATAGGTTCTGCTTGCAGTTGGACATGGCCATGGTGGACTTTGATACATTCCAAGGAAACAAGCATGAAAGATCTCATTTCCACTGAAAACAAACACACACACACACGTCTTGGTAGTTGTACGGCTGAATTATATGAGCCATATACATCCAAATGCCTTATTCTATCTACACCTGTTGGTTGATTTTCGTCCAGTGGATCTTTGTGGGTCGCCCAAGGGGCATGAAGGATTCCCGCGTCAGCGCTAACACTTCAATGTAGCTGATCGCGAAACCTGCCCAGCTCTGGCAGGGACTTCAACGGGGAGAATCTAAGTTACAATATAAAGCCTGGCACATCTAAAGCCTTGAACAATATATCAAGCATTAAACATTGCATGTCTCGCCATTCCGACATGTATATGTATGTGGTATATTATATATATATATATATTAAATATATATTATATACATTATATATATAATATATATATATATGTATATATATATTAAATATATATATATATATAATATATATATATGTATATATATATTAAATATATATATATATTATAAATATATTATATATAGTATATATATATAATATATATATATATACAAATCTGTCTATGAATAAGATCCTTCGCCGACGTTGGTTTCTCTCATGGCTTGCCAAAAGATGTTTTGGGCAGCGTATATGTTTTGCCGTGTTTTTTGGCTAAAACACTGAGCTTTCCAAATAGCAACCTCCCACATGTCACATGTACCAATATGTTTCAGCATTACAACCAAATTGATTCTACAAACAAGGTTTATAAGTAGGCTAGCTATGGTTTCTGGTAGAAATCTCTTTAAAGTGATGGTTTATAGCCAACAAAACTAAACGAGGGTCACCGCCTTGTAGCCGGCGGGCAACAAAATGAGCAACCACTAAACTGAGGTGCCGACAGAACAGAACCTGTAAGATGTGTTTTCAAGGTAAACCTCCTCATACATAATAACATTATAAAACATAATATATATATATGTACATAATTGAATATATCGGGTCACATCCCCCTTTATCTAACTGTCAGAATGCCCGGATGGTCCTCGAAGACAACCATCAGTTAAGAACGCCATCACTTTCCGTGGGTCATGGGGTCATTTCACAAAGGGCAAACCGATGATTTTCCACCCATGTGAAACTCGCTGCTACTATCCAATCCAGCCATGGAAATTCACTGAGCATCATGAGTCATGAGGTGTTTGACTTATCCCCATACCATCTATCTATCCGAATCTATCCCCCAAAAATGATAGGCTTTGACATGTATTCACTCCTCACCCCCTCTTCCGCATCCATGTTATTTTGGGATTTTCCAGTCTGAACCATGCAGCTATTGGGGTATCCCCATTTCAAACCCTGGAAAAATTATGCCTGAGTCTGTCAACACCTTTTGACCGTGAATAGGGGCGATTTGAAACCTACAGGATGGTGCCCCCAGTTATAAGCTGGTTTATAACCCCATCTAAATATAACATAATATTAATATAACTATAAAGATCATACACTATGGTCTTTACAGTTGTCAAGCAACTTGGCAAACCCTGGGGCCCCATCCTGCCTGACACAGGCCTGATCAAGCTGGTGTCTGAGAGGACGAAGTCTTCTCCCCAAACCTGCAGAGTTTACCAACAACCTGGGCCTGGTAGCACCAAGAAACCTGGCATGGTAGGGTTGAAACAGTTGAAACTCTTTCACGACCATGTAAGGTTGGTAATCAAATGACCACTGGAAGATGTGGAAAACAAATGTGGGGCCGATACTGAGTTGGATGAATTTCATGATCGGTTCCGGAGAAAGCAAATGTACCAATATCATCCAATATCGAGAATGCAATGTCTTTTTGTTCGTAACAAATCTACAGTAGGAGGTGAATATCTAGGGCTAGAAGTTTCATTTTTTGTCCATCAAATTATGGGCCAAAGAGAGGACACGGTCAGGATAGTCCAAGAAAACCAGAAGTCGTTCTTACAAAACCCGCCTTGCGTTACTCAGGAAAAATGGGCACCATTTGGAATTGAACTGATTCTTCACCCAAGTCACAACATGAGGCAAAATCCGAATCCAATCATCAAATATTATATTAAGGGACTTAGCACTGTGGACAAAAAAACGTATAACCGCTCAGCATCTCCCACCGATGGGCTCCACTCACCATCCACTGGCATCATTGCTAAGTGACCGATGCAGTAAATCCGTAGCGACACTACTTATTGAGGAGTCATGCTGTGTACAAATGGCCACTGGATATCCCCTCAGGATTCATAAAAATACGGTCACCTACATTGATACGTGCTCACATGCTTTAAATGAACGAACTAGCCCTTGCAGTTTTGAAAGCCTGCTGCCCAACTGCACTGAGTTTATCAGCAAACCATTCAGCAGCCACAAGGGCGCATTTTGACCAGGTATGATTGGGAGAGTCAGTGAAATCTCCAAAATCATATGCAACATCTATGGTTTCCACTTCACAGTTGCAATTCCAGGCGCAAGTGGTGTTAGTGTTATAATTATAACATATAACTTACAACATCTTACAACTGTATATTTGTGGGGGCTATATCTCAACTTGTGGGATTCTATGGCTTTACGATGGTTATACCAAGTAATCATCCCAACCCCCCGAGCAGGCCAAGGATGCCAAGGGACGGTGCCATTACTGCCGAGACGGCTGTTGAGAATCACCAAGCCTTTGGTGCCAAGAGGATTTTCAATGGCAGGTCCTACCCGTCCTACCCCTCCCAATCATCCCGCCATCTCCTTGGAAATTCGGCCGAAATGGATGCAGTTGGTAGGTCTGACTGGATGTTTTTGGTTTGGTAACACCACTCCAGGTCTAACTTCATTACCCTCATCAAACGTGGCACGTGGCAATCAGAAATCCCCGATAAATAATTTTTTGGTGGACATTTCCATTGTCATGTTGATTACCAAAGGTACAGTACCAAAGGAATCCTGGAATGTTAATCTGGGATCTGGAAACCGTTCCGGTTTTCCAATGTGATGGGTTCATTCGAATGAATTGATGACACAACAACGCACCAAGGTGAGTTCAAAGCAACCCATTGATAGAACTTGATCTGTATGCTTGCTATCTCAATAGAACAGTGAATTATATATATATATATCTATCTATATCTATCTATCTATCTATATAATGATATAAAAATATATTTACAAAATATCTATATACAAAATATCATTTGCAGGTAAAAACCACTCTTGAAGTGCAGTCCGTGTATTTTACATTATTTTACTAGGACATGTCTCGTTGCCAAGCGTAGCAGGCGCCTTTGGACAGGATGTAGAGAATCCTCAGGACCGCGACAACGGGGTAGGACTTTGGCCCAAGTACGCATCAGTATTTTATGGTTGTTGATCAAAATTCCTGTATCCGCACCGGCCCTTCTTCGCGAATATAAATGTTACTTTCACGGCACTTTCGCGAACTCCATGTTTATCTTTCGCGGAGCCCATGTTGGCAACAGCGCCTCTTATGAAGATTTATTCACCACCTGCCAAACTACGCCAGCTCGAGAATCACAGATCACTTCTTGATAGCCTTGTAAACATGCAGCTATCATCACGGAACCCCTTCTCCCCCACCTTTGAAAGCTCGGGTGCTACCTATGAAGGGCAAGGTGATTGTCCAAAAGCACCACACAGGGAACTGAACCAGAACCAAACCGAAATTCTCCGGTGCCCTTCTCCCGGGCAGCAGGGGGCGGCAGCCCTTTACAAGCTAAATACAATGATTATTAATAATATCCAACTTTCGCGAAACTTTCGCGAAAGTTGAATGTTTCTGTCGCGAACTCGAAAAAAACTTTTGCGAGGGTTCCAAACATAACATGAACGGTCTTCGCAGTTAAAAATCTTTACCAGGACCTCTAGATCGAATACCACATAGAAGATTGACAAAACATGAATGTCCATATTCCATATTTATACCAGTAGTACCGCGCAAGGCGGTGGCGGAAGTTTCAAAGATAGGAAACGATAGGAGAGGTGAGTTGTTGTGATGCATGTATGGCAGAGCGAATCCACTGATGGACCGAAAGGTGGTTGGAGCTTTGTTTTTTGGAGTGGTTGCAATTGTTGCAGTGGTCACCTCAGTCACAACTGCTGGATGTAGTGCGGTGTGGTGTAGCGCAGGTGTAGCTGTATTTACAGGGTAGTGGAGTTGTAGTTGTAGTGCAGTGTACTTAGTGTAATGCAGTTGTAGTTGCAGTTGTAGTTGTGTTGTGGTGTAATGAGTGTAGTGCAATGTCATGTAGTGTAGTCTGCTGCAGTGGTGTGTTCTGTAGCGTAGTCTGGTGTAGCGTACTCTAGTGTACTGTATATAGTTGTATTTGTAGCTGTAGTTGTAGCTGTAGTTAGTGTAGTGTAGCGTAGCGTAGTGTAGTGTACTGTATTGGTAGTTGTAGTTGCAGTCGTAATTTTAGTATAATGTAATTAGCGTAGCGTAGCGTTGTGTAATGTAGTGCGGTTGTAGTTGTAGTTGTAGTTGTAGTGGTAGTCTAGTGTAGTGTAGTGTAATGTAATTAGTGTATAGTATTGTAATGTAGTGTAGTTGTAGTTGTAGTTGTAGCTGTAGTAGTAACAGTAATAGTAGTTTTAGCTGTAGTTAGAGTTGTAGTGTAATTAGTGTAGTGTGCTGTAATTAGTGTATTGTAGTGTAATTGGTGTATATAGTGTAGTGTACAGTAATTGGTGTAGTGTAGTGTAATTAACGTACTGTAGTGTACAAGTAGCATATTTGCATCTGTATTTGTAGCCGTAGTTGCAGTTGCAGCTGTAGTTGTCTATCATTGTATCTAGCTATCAATCTATCTATCTGCAAGTTTGAAAACGAAGCTATTCTGCGAGACTTCCTCAATTTTTGAACATGACAACATCAGAAGCGCAGCAATTCTTCTAGACTTCCTCAACTTTTGAACGTGACAACGCCAAAAACGAAGCTATTCTGCGACACTTCCTCAATTTTTGAAGTTGACAACATCAAAAACGAAGCAATTCTGCAAGGCTTCCTTCAAAAATGGAAAGTTGAGTGCAGGGCTGACGGCCTCGAGCCAATGCGTTTTGCGTTTCTCCTAGTTCATGTGTCTAAAGTATTGCGCCTGCCGCGAAAACGAGGCCAGGGTCATACGGAGTGCTGCACCTGTCACACAACATCATCTTCCCAAAACTGAAGATCTGATGCTCCAAAACGCAATCCCTCTCAGGATATCAGCGCCCGGACCTCCTAACATCTCTGATGAGCATGTCTCTTGTATTGCCCCGGCCACGTAAAATGGATCTTTCCAGGTCCTCTTCACATGTCCCACGCCTGCCATCGTTTTTGGAAATGCTAGAAAACCCTCACTTTTTGCTCGCTGTGACAAGGTGCACAATCCCTTGCGCCTGCCCTGCAAAACGACAACTGAACGTCCAAAGTTGTCCGAGCATGTGGTGTTTTTCACATTTTGCCTTGGATGTGCTTCGTGCCACAACGGCGTGCACTTTTTTTGACGTCTCAACTTCCAAAAGTGGTCCGAGAATGTTGTGCATTGCTATTTTTGACTTGAATTTTTTCTTCGCGCCACAACGGTGTGCACTTTTTTTTGACGTCTCAACTTCCAAAAGTGGTCCGAGAATGGTGTGTTTTGATGTGCTTTGTACATTTTGACTTCAAAACGTGCTTCGCGCCACAACGGCATGCAATTTTTCATCTGGGACCCAGCTGGTGGTGCTGGGTGGTGCCAAGGTTCTGCACGTTGCCGAAGCTCTCACGCTGCGCGAAGGCACCACAGATCAGCTGCCTCGAGGTGTCCGCGATGCAGGCGCGGAAGGATTCGGTGTCGATACCTGCGGACACGGCGAAGGCGGTGTAAAGGTGTGAAGTCTGTAAGCCATGGGGTGCATCAAATGTTAGAAGACATGTATAATACAATGTATTCTAGATTGTACATATATACAGCACACACACATATATATATATATATATTTGTGCGATGACTCTGTTGCCTACGTTGTGCAGATCGGAAAAAAACTTTGACCAGAAACGTCACTGCAGGATAGTGTGAATTGCAAAACCTTCAAAAAACACAACGAAAACAAGCACAACAAATCATCAACAACACGGCCACAAAAGCACCCCAAACCGACTCAAAATCAATCAACTGTATTAAATTCACATGTACAGTATTGCACAGTATTCAAATCCAGAAACGTCTCGAATTAGATTGCCGTTTAATCTTACAAACATGTTCGCGGCAATCCCTATACGTTTGCCTTTGCCCATGACAAATCTCGCATATCCTTTGACATGCTCATATCTCCGTTTTTCCATTACTTTTCAAAACAATGAAAACCCTAAAACCATCTAATATCTAAAACCATGAAACCCTAAACCTAAAACCCTAAAGCCATCTAAAGCCTAAAATCCAAATCCTGAAACTGGAAGTCAAAACCGCTGCGTAGAGTAGAGCCAGTGTTTTTGTTCATCCTTGCTTGGTATGATCTTGTCTGCGTATATTTTTTTCGGCATGTAGGGTTTGGCTCCAACATGTTGTTTTCTATTTCGACAGGGATGTTTCTTGCTGACATTGCTAGGGGGTTCCCTATATCCCAAATAAATTGGAGCATATTGGAGCTACCTTCGCATCAGGTATCTCCAACAGTTTCTCTCAACGCTCAGATCGCTGAATTTTCATCAAAACACACCCAGGCAGTAGGAAAAACCCAAACGCTCAAAACAAAAACGAGAAGGAAGCTTCAGGTGCGTAGTGCTGTATAGTGCATCAACAAATGGTGATTGAACATTGTTTCTTCTTGGGGTTGCAGCGTCAGTGGGCTTGTTAGGGGCTATGTCTTACGAGTGTGGGATCTACCCATTGATTTACAGTATAGCAATCTTCACAGGGACAACTGAGCGTGGTTTCAAAGCGGGATGATAGGTATTCTTTTCTCAGGGAAAAAGCATGGCTCAGGGAGCAGGACGAACCTGCCGGGAAGGCTATACCTGGCCATGCTTGCTTCAGGGAATTAATATGAAATAATGACATTGCATGTTGCTGTTGCAGGCTGTTGCATAAAATGTGCTTACAGTAGATCATCCTTATTTCAGTGGTTCAATCTTCAGTTTTGCCGATTGGGTTCAACGTTGCCGATGCAAAATCTATGTTTTGCTGGTAAGATCCTCAATTGAATCCAATGATCTTCGCTCATAGAAATTGGAAAATCCATAGGGTTAAAAAACGCGGAATTACTCCCCACCTTTGGAGTCCAGCATCTCCATATGGCTGATAAACTTGGCAAAGAAACTCACCTGGGGTGAAGATCGGTGGTTTCTGGATGGAAAACTCCCCATCTTTAAGAAACAGGGGGCCCAGGGGGGTCCAGCAATTGTTCCTATGAACTCTTTGAACCAATTCAACAACATCCAATGACGCATCCATGATTTTAGGACGGACTAGGGTCCTTCTTTCAGACCCATTTGAAGGTCAAATTGGGATATGGGGATATGGGGCTTCGTGCATTTCCTTTTCACAGTTTGCGTGCACTCAATGAAGAGATGGAAGGGGAATATTGCACGCAGCTGGAATTGGACAATGATGTTGGCTGATGTCTATGGTCAGGAAGAGGGTTGCAACTACAATATCATGTCAGGTTATAGGTTTTGGAGATGCCTCTGGAACCACTTCCTATGTCAAAAATCTTTCCAGTGGCAATGGTTACTCAACAACAATGGCACACTTGATATGTTTTGATTTAATTACCTTTGAATTTGGGTGACACCATGTCTAAGTCAATAGTTGCTTCTTGGGTCTTCTTTGGATGTTGGTTCAGGAATCCCCCAAATGAGATTTCCGGATACGTTTAGGTGGGGTCCCGAAGAGCAGTACATTTCGGAAGGGGTGGGGTAGAAGAGCTAGAAAAGCATTGCAGGACCGTTCTTCCGACTTCAAAAAACCATTCAAACACAAATCACCCACTGGTTCTTGAACATAAAAACATAGCAATGGAACATCCACCAGTTTTAAATAGGTATAGCAGAATATCATCATAAATCATCTGTAAATGGGCCATTTTTCATAGCTATGTTCAATATTATCTGGTTGGTGGTTTTAAGTTTTAACCATCTTGAAAAATATGAACGTCAAAGGGAAGGATGATCCCATATTAATTATGGAAAATAAAGTATGTGTTCCAAACCACCAACCAGAATATTATTGTTGAACCAGGGGATAAGTGATACTGTAAGTGTCGGATCTCCGACCTCATCCCCTTGGATTTGAACCTTGGCAGCCCAGGGGCTTTCTGAATCCAAGGCAAATTCCTTGGAGCGTGATGTCGAAAGGATGCTGTGTGCTGGGGGAAATTTGCTATCATCCCTTATGTCCCCTGTGATATTCCGATGAGATTTCCATATTGATAGTGGATTCTAATCTACAATTTCATCTCCATGAAACTACCCAGTAGAACCCCCTAAACCCTATTGGGGTGCAAAGGGACCTTATCACTACTCTGCTTGCCTAACCAAATGCTCAGTGCAACATCTTTCATAGTCTTCATGGTTTCCTGCTTACCATTGTTCATGGTTTATAGACTGCTTACAGTACCATTGGTAATGACTAAGAATGGTCCAATGGTTCATCTATATCCATGTATATATATATATATATATCAACTTGTCTGCATATCGGGCTATGCCATCATGGCTAACTCAGATCGTAATCGCCCGCAATGTGTGATCGCCCGCAGTTTCACCTGCTAAAAAAAGTGAAACATGCTTACAATCAAATGTTGAAAATTGAAAATCAAACGTATATATATATAATTCATTATAATTCTATACGTGTAATTATGTATAACTATAAAAAAATAAAAACACTAATATACATTCCAAATTATATATATACATTTAAATCGATCCAGACCGAGTTGAGAGGCGTTGAATGTTCACCTCCCTTTGCAGGAAACCGCAAGAAACTCTGGACGTGTTTGTTTTTGCCCTGCAACTTCAAACAGCCTTCAAAATTATCGCTTTTCGGATACTGTAATGAATCTTAAACTATAACCCAACATAGAAACACATACAGTTTCTGGGTGCTTCTTCATCATCCATTGGAAAATAAATCACATCGAAATCAACCAGCAAAAATAACACAAACAACACACGATGCAAATTGGGAAAAAAAAGTTCATTTTTCTGTACCTTTGCAAGGTTTCTCCCAATCCTGAGATCTTCCATTGCCACCTGGCGAATGGCGAGATTCATCTCGGTACAAACTTCTGATTGGAGCTGGGGGCTCATGTTGGTGAGCAGTTTTTGACGAACTACCTGAGCAGCTGAGCCTGGAGTCACCTCCCAAGCACCCGTATGTCATGGCATTTTTATGTTGACCAATTCGTGTAGGTATTTGCAGAGCCCCGACACGTATGTGGATCTGTATGGGTGATAATTCCAGGTGGGATGGAAACAACATGATGAATATGAACTAGAAAGAAAAACGCATGACACCAAGAACCAAATAATCCGTGGGAACCCAGCGTTCCAGGGACTGAGTATGATGGGTGAACAGCACAACGCACCCTGAATCGCAATTGCTGGTGAAATCATAACTTCTGGAGGCTCGATGAAAGTCCCTGCGAACCGAACCTTTGGGGAAGCTGTTGGGGTCACAAACTCACAGGCCATCGTACCAGCCAAACTTAGAGAAAAACAACATCTATTGCGGCCATTCCAGTCGACAAAGTACGCATCTGCGTAACAGAGTGACAGGCAAACCACGCTGGGCATGATAAGGATTAGGATGATTTGGGGATATATTAGGGGCTGTTGGGTGGTTTCAGCTCTCGTGAATTGTGAGTTGGGATTAATTACAGGATCATCCTCCCGAATCGTGCAAATAGGGCTTTATTTTCAAACATGCCACTGTCCCGTGAAACACATGCTGCCCCGAACACACAAGTCAAAGCCATTCAAAGAATGCGCAACAAAAAACGAAATATGCATGTGATACCTCAAAACCACAATTAATTCTTATAAGGATATAAGGGAACTCAGGAACTGATGATCAACAATGGCAATTTGAACTGGGGTACCCTATTTTCAAAAAAAACGCATATCAAGAAAATAACAATATCTGGGGGACTGGGGGAGGGAAAAAAGACTTCCCTCTGGTATGGACCGATCAATAATTCAATTCTGATCCCAAACTTCGACGTCTGCAGGAAATCAGGGACCAAGGGGCATACTGCGATTGATACCGGTTCTGCCTCAGGTGCTGCTGGATTCAGCCAACACCCGCAAGGGTGACCAAGCGAGAAAAAGAAACTGACTTAAAGCTTGATTAAGCTCCAACAACACACGGGCTTTCAATCCATCTATTCATAGGGGTAATCTGACTACGGGGGGGTGGTTGGATCGATCACATCCATGCACTGTATATTCATCCTGCAGCTTTCTCAGAATTGTTTTCCACAGTGTTTTTCCATATTTTTTTCCCCAAGAAATCGTAGATTGACCAGCCAGGTGACAGGAAGAAACTGCGAAGGCGGCGTCTGAGGTCATGGGGCAGGCCTTGCTCCTGAACGAAAAATCATCCCACCTAGTGACTACATAGACCAAACAACTCTTGATTGTGATTTGAGGGAGGTTCTAAACTGTTACAAACAGTTAAATTAACGAGTTTGTCTGGGAATAGATAAAATAGGATGCTCCATGGTACCCCTAAATCTATTGAATCGAGTGGTTCATCAACATGTTCCCTTATTAAATAGCCCGGGGCTGCAAAGGGAATACCACATGTTTGGACAAACCGGGTTATTCGGATAGAATGCAAAACAACAATTGTTGAGCCATGTTGGCTAGGTTGTACTGCTCTGCGGGGGTCACACGCATCATTGCATGAACCATGATTTGAAATCAGATTTGCAGGGGATGATCTATGACTTAGTCTATGACCCATGATCTAGACCCTGAGAGACCCCAATTCGATTGCAAAAGTTTTGATTCACCTTCTGGTAATTTAACAGTTTGCTATTCACAGCGTCAATTTCGTAACATGATTTACCTCTTTCAAATTAGAGTAAACATGCCAATTTTCCAGAGCAACCTGTCAAACAAAACTATCGAACCCCATTCTACAGTACCCCATTCATGTGGTTAAAACAATAAACTATCCCCAAAATCACCGTTTGTATGGGTGGTAAAGACCATCAAACATGGGGTGGTTTATGGCATTGTTTTACCCACATTAGTCACCATTTTTCACCATTAATCATACATCAATCACCCATGAATGAATCACCATTATTAACCACTATTCACCATTATCCATTGTTTTATCCACATTAGTCACCATTATTAACCATTATTAACCAGTATTAACTGCCATTAACCATGGATATTCCCATTATTAAATCCTCTTCAATCAAACCGTTGAGTTCGATGACTTCCGGCCTGCATCATCTTGTTGAGGCTATTCATCTTCTTCCGGAACTCCTGGTTCTCGGCGTTCATATCCTCGGTTTTTTTGGGTGGATGAGTTGGTAACTACTATAGAAACTATGAAACAATGTTTAAAAATGAACTATTGATTTTAACGGATGAACTATCTACTACTAACGGCGCAGGTTTTCTTCCATCCACAGTATTCTCGAGAACTGAAGGCATTCAGGAATGGTGTCATAGTGTTTATATCAACAGGTGAATTGTATATTAGAAAAAAACAACAAAAAATCCCCCAACTGTGAGCACATGAAATTAAATTACATTGATTTGTTTTAAGAAAGGGTTCCCCAAATATGCCTTTTCCACTACCAATAGACCTCTCAGTGGAGTTTGGGCACCCCACCGCCTGGAACAAAACTTATTCTGTGGCAACCCTGTGAGACTTACCAGGCAGCACCAAAGTGAACCCCCACAAATAGATCGACCAGTTAGGAAAACTGGGCACACTATATAAAATTTGTGAACATCATTTTTATACTGCATGTACATATGTACATATCTGTCATAGGTATATGTATTTTTATCTATATATATATATACATGTGCGATTTATATGTATAAATATATATATATATACTAGTACAGAGATTTAGCATTCTGGAAAATGTATAATGTATACTCTACTCTTTGGGGAAGAACTTTTTGACCAGGAGTTTGCCCAACAATGGGTTGACTTCTGGGAGTATTCGCATGCTGGGCTTTGCAGCAGTTTTACAGCACCCCATCCAAAGAAGAAAATTGATAGATAGGTCGAGAGAAATAAGATAGATAGATAGACAGATAGATAGGTAGATAGGTAGATAGGTAGATAGGTAGATAGGTAGATAGATAGATAGATAGATAGATAGATAGGTAGACAGGTGGATAGGTAGATAGGTAGATAGGTAGGTAGGTAGATAGGTAGATAGGTAGATAGGTAGATAAATAGTTAGGTAGATAAATAGATAGGAGTACATCGCATGCTGCTTGTGAAACAAACACCCGAAGCAAAACCCGTCACGTGTCGTCCATGACAATTGTGCCATGGAAACTGAAGGTGCTGCATGAGACTGCTGGAATGCAGCCCATGTCATTCAGCTCAAGCCAAAGCCTAAGTAGATAGGTAGATAAGTAAATAGGTAGCTAGGTAGATAGTAGATAAGTAGATAGGTAGCTAGGTAGGTAGGTAGCTGGGTAGCTAGGTTAGCTAGGTAGATAGGTAGGTAGATAGATAAATAGATAGAATGATAGATAGACATATGTAATGGATTATGTATCTAAGTTATAATATATATATATATACACATCCTCCCACAAGTGTGATACTTTGAAACCATTCTGCGCACAGTTCGGGTGGAGTTTGGGCTGGGAATGGTTCCACTTTGCCATTAACAAATCGAAGTTTGTAGGTCCAATTTTCGCCGTAAGGCCTTGAGACATACCCAGATGTCACATGACATTCTGTCACATCAATTCAACAGGAAACATATTCAAGAAAATCATGCACGATCATCATTATGCAAAATAGTCATAGTCATATAGCCATATATATCCATATATATATATGTATATTATATATTAAAGAAAATAACCTACATAATATACACAATGGCAATGTGGTTCTAAAATTTAAAATGCAAACATCTATGCGGCCAGGAGGCCGAAGAAATGGCACAGACTTCTCCCAGAATCTGTGCCCAGCAGAGTCCAGCAACCAGCACAATCACCTCACCAAGACTAGGGTTTCTTTACGCTGAAAATGATGAAACAATGGTGGTTTAACATGATTCAAACATCCAACGCTGGGAAAAATGATGGTTCTGTGACTATCACATTGTGATAATTCACCATCCAACACTGGGAACTTTAATGGTGGTTCAACCATCAAAACATTGGAAACAAATTGAACGAAATGGTGGTTTTACAGTTTAACCAACAAAAATGATTTGCTGCGCATTAACCAAAAGTTTCTCGGGGATGAGCCACTGGCATTTCTACCGTTCTATCATCATAAAAAGGTTGGTTCAAGAAACCATGAAAACACCATGACTTCCCAATGATCAATAACTAGATTTGTTGGCACAATTTGCAAAGTGACCGACTTACACCCCAAAAAACAAATCGGATATCATTGAGATACCGGTAGTACCGCGCAAGGCGGTGGCAAAAGTTTCAAGGATAGGATACTATAGGAGAGGTGAGTTGTTGTGATGCATGGATTGCAGAGCAAATCCACTGATGGACCGAAAGGTGGTTGGAGTTGTGTTTTTTGGGGTGGTTGCAGTGGTTGCAGCCACAACTGCTGGATGTAGTGTGCTGTAGTGCAGCTGTAGTTGTAGTTGTAGTGTAGTGGAGTTGTAGCTGTGTGTGGTGCAATTAGTGTAGCGCAGTTGTAGTTGCAGTTGTAGTTGTGGTGTGGTGTAATGAGTGTAGTGTAATGTAATGTAATTTAATGTAATGTAATGTAATCCGTAATGTAGTGTAGCGTGCTGTAGCGTGCTGTAGCGTTGTGTTCTGTAGCGTAGTCTATTGTAGTGTGGTGTGCTGCAGCGTTGTGTGCTGTAGTATAGTCTACTGTATTGTAGTCTGGTGTAGTGTAAAGTAGTGTAGTTGTAGTTGTAGCTGTAGTTAGTGTAGAGAAGCATAGTGTAGCGTAGTGGAGCAGTGTAGTGTAATTAGTGTAGTGTAGTGTAAGTGGTTTGTGTAGTGTAATTAGCGTACTGTAGCGTAGCATACTTGCATTTGCATTTGCAGCTGTAATGGTAGTGTGGCTGTAGCCATAGTTGCAGTTGCAGCTGTCTGTCGCCGTGTCTAGCTATCAATCTATCAATCAATCTATCTGCAAGTTTGAAAACAAAGCTATTCTGCGAGACTTCCTCAATTCTTGAACTTGACAACGTCAAAAACGAAGCAGTTCTGCGAGACTTCCTCAATTCTCGAACTTGACAACATCAAAAACGAAGCAATTCTGCAAGACTTCATCAATTTTGGAAGTTGACAACATCAAAAACGAAGCAATTCTGCGAGACTTCCTTCAAAAATGGAAAGTTGAGTGCAGAGCTGACGGCCTCGTGCCAATGCGTTTAATGTTTTTTCCAATCCATGTCTCTAAAGTATTGCGCCTGCCACGAAAAAGTGGCCAGGTCATACGAAGTGCTGCACCTGTCACGCAAAATCATCTTAGCAAACATGAAGATCTGATGCTCCAAAATGCAACCCCTCTCAAGAAATCAGCGCCCTGACCTCCTAACATCTCTGATGAATATGTCTCTTGTACTGCCCTGGCCACGCGAAATGGATCTTTGCAGATCCTCTTCAAATGTCCCACCCCTGCCAGTGCTTTTGAAACTGCTACAAAACCATCACGTTGTGCTCACTTTTGACAAGGTGCAGAATCCCTTGCGCCTGCCATGCAGTATGACATCTGAACGTCCAAAAGTGGTCCGACCATGTGGTTTTAACATTTTGGAAACGCGCTTTGCGCCACAGTGGCGTGCACTTTTTCATCATCTCAACTGCCAAAGGTGCTCCGAGAATGGTGTGTTTTGTACATTTTGACATATTTTGACTTGAAAATGTGCTTCGCGCCACAACAGCGTGCACTTTTTCATCATCTCAACTTCCAAAAGTGGAACCCAAAAGCGGTCTGAGACCGTCAGTTTTTTACATTTTTGACGTGGAAATGTGCTTCCCGCCACAATGGCGTGCACTTTTTCGTCATCTCAACTTCCAAAAATGCTCCGAGAATGGACGAACAGCAAGGTAGCGCAAAAACAAACCAGAAATCTTAGGCACAGCAACGGTGGCGTGCCTAAGCATCTGGTGGCCCGTCAGAACAGAGGGTGCCGCGGCAACCCCATTCCCACACTGGGCCAAAGAAATGGCAAAAATCCCCACCGACTGGAAAAGCAGACGCACAAGTTGGGGGATCGCCTAGGCCGTGAAAGGAAATGATGGAAAAACGGCCGTATAGCAAAGGCAGCATCAAGGCCGGGCTCCACTGACACAAGGAGAACATGTTTGACATGTCATCGAGGTGTGCAGGAAGCCCTTCAGAAAAAGAAGGCTCTCACTTGGCTGGCATCGCTCAGGGCTCAGGTTGCACAAGAAAGTCCGCCGCCGAGGCAGAGGCCAGTCCAGCACGCCGTCGAAGCACAGCACGGGCGCGGTGGCAACGTGCAACCACACACAACTCCTGCAAGAGCTTGCCATGTACCTGGGACACGTCCTGTCCAGTCCGGACAGCAACGGACCCTGAGACGTGGCGTAGGAATTTGGCGGCTTCTCTCTCCCATGCCCCTGTGCACTCAAGGACCAGAGGCTTGAAGCTCAGGCCTTGGCGGGCGCATACGGCAGCAGTGTCCAAGTGGGTCCGCTTCACCTGAGCATAAGATGCTGCAGCCGCCGCCGGAGTGTTGCTCGCCTCCGTCAAGCTCTCCGCCCGCAATGGCGCCGTCACGGCAAGGTCAAGGGCGGTTGGAGAGCCAGCATAGGTCGGCAAGAAAATGTCGGCAGGGCGTCGCCCAGCCACGCTATCATCAGGTCGGTGTGGCAGAAGGAGTCCGGGTTTTTCCTTCTCGGGCTTGAGGCCAGCAACGTCGAGCCACCAGTGGAGAAGGTCTCGGAGAGCGTTGTGACGCTGCACCCGTTCCCCCCCAGCCACGCAAACAGCGGCATGGTAGGAGAAGCGGTCAAGCACAGAGTCGCATTGCGGGCACCAGCCATCTTGGAGAGCTTCGGTCATGCCCAGTCTTTGGCCAAGTTCCGTGGTGAACAGAGCAGGTTCGATCCGGGTGCGACCGCCAGGCAAAGCGGCCAGGAAAGCTCGGGCTCCCGGCTCAGCCTCAGACAAGAGGACTGCACGTCCAGCAACCGTGGAGGAGGCAAGCTGCCGCTCCCAGGAGGCGATGTCCAGCTTCAGCGTCAATGCTTTGTGCCTCAAGCTGAATGCAGTTTCCAGGGTGAGGGGGCTCGCCGTGCCAAGCACTTGATTGTAGGTGGACAAAGCTGAAGCGGCATGGCTGTCAGCGATTGCAGAGTAGTGTGTGGATCAAGCTGCGTGCAAGCAACAGAGCACCCACCAACCGAAGCAAGGTATGCAGCAGCGCTGTCCCGCACCGTGCTTCGCAACCCCAGGCCGCCGTGCCCAAGCCCTCTTGTAGCTTGTTCCCATTGAGCTGCATCTGGATGCAAGCCGGTCAAAGTTTCGAAGCAGGTCCGGACAAGATCGTCGAAGTGCCTCAAAGCACGACCTTGCGGGCCAGGCGCGGCGCATCGAAGATTGTGGGCTAGGCGGGAATGCCCAGCGGCTCGGCGCAACAGCCGGAGCCCAATCTGCGGGTCCTCCAAGTCGGCGATGCCATCGAGCAGCCGCTCGGCGGCTTCCACTCGGCCAACGGTGTGGGCAGCGCAGAAAGCATCATCGCCAATGGGGGCGCCCAAGAGCTCAAAGTTGCGCATGACCCGCCTGGCCCCCGTCGCTGTATACAGCAATGCCGCTGGGAAGTGGCCATCAAGGTCGGCCGGCGACGTCGACCCCACCGCAATCACTTCGGACTTGTGCAAATTCAGGGTGAGGCCCAGCGAGGCAGCCCGGTGTTGAAGGTGGGTCAAAGCTGCGGATACTGCAGCGATGTCACCTGCAAGGAGCCCATCGTCGAGGTAGAACACCGCCAAGTCAACCCCTTGTTGGAGCTCCTCTGCGAGAGCTTGGATGGCAAGCGCAAAGAAGAGGGGACCAAGTGGATCTCCTTGTTGCACACCGCCCGCCGAGGTCAATGTGGAGGACCCAAAACGAAGGCAAGTGTGGCCCCCATAGCACCACCAAGCCCAGCGCGTGAGGCCGGGGAAGCGGGCCTGCACCGCCTGCAGCACGGCAGCGCGGCTGATAGTGTTGAAGGCATTGTGGAAGTCGAGCTTCACAACCGCTTTCCCGGCACTATTGCCGTGTCTGTGAACCCACGCACGGGCAGTGTGCACCGCAGTTTCGGCCCCTGCCGGCACGCAAACCCCGACTTGAGCTGGCCAAAGGGAAGTGCGCACTTCGTCCGGGATCTGGCGGAGGAGGCACTTCCCGACAAGGCGGCGAAGGATCTCCCCAATGGCGATCGGCCTAACGCCGCCGCTAGGCTTGGGCACCGCGACAAGGCCGGCACCTGCTTTAAACCAACTGCCACGCTTGCAGGGGCATGACCAGGCGCCAGCAGCAGGACGACTTGGGTGAGGGCGTGGATGAAGCAGTCTGTGTCTCCAGGCGAGCTTGCATCCAGAAGATGCTGGGCCCGGAGGCCGGTGGGCCCTGGCGATGTGCCGGCCGGGAAGCTGCGGAGGGCGGCTGCAACCGTCTCAGGTGTGATGTCAGCACAGGGCGGCATCTGTTGGGGATCTGGTGGTTGGAGATGTGGCTGTTGTGGGTGGAGGCACTTGAGGGCATCCACTGTTGCTGGGGTCTCGGGGCAAAGCCCTTCCGCCAGCAGGGCAGCACAGGCTTTGCCATCCCAGCCCTCACGTGCTAGCCCTGTGGCAAGTTCCCGCCGCTGTTGCGGAGTACGGCTCTGGCGCCGGGGTTTGGGTGGAGAGTGCCGGCTGGTCCACAGAGCCATCCGCTCCCCTTCGTGCCATCGGGCCAGGCGGTCCAATGTGTAGGCCGCCAGAGCCTTGTGATGTTTTTTGCCCCCGCGCGGTGGCGCATCCAAGACGGCTTGGGGCAGCATGAGCAATTGCTTCCATGCCGCCTCTGTGTTGTGGTGGTGTGCGAGCGCCAAGGCACTGTGCTTTCTACGTTTTGACTTCGAAATGTGCTTTGCGCCACAACGGCGTGCAATTGTTCATCTCATCTGGCCAGATGGCTCTGCGCCCGCCGCTTTGGCGAGCCTACTTTTCGACCCTCCGGAGCCACAAATCATTGTAAAATACAGTGAATCGCGACTTTGCTACCTTTTCACGCACCTGCATCTTCTATCCTCTGACTCTTTCTCTTCTCTGATCTTTTTTCTTCTTCTCTTTTCTTCTCTGACTCTTCCCACCTCTGCTTTTCCATTTGTCCATATTGTCGGAAGTTTGACTTCTAAACTTCCTTCAATAATATACCCCAGTCACTAAACACTCAGACACTCAGGTATTTCTGGCTTATATACTGTATGATACTGTATGTATATATACTTATCTTATACTTCTAAGATCTTCTAAGTGCGGTCCCTAAATTTAACGTGAAACCGATGAACATGATGAACCCTATTTTGAGGGGTCTGGAACATGAAAATCCTACGACTCCTAGATAGCCACTTTTTGGTTTTCCATATTGAATTCAGCGGGTTTACACGACCTCTGTGCAGCTCGTTGCATCCGCAAAGAGCAAGTCACGGTGCAAATGATGCGCTCCAAGATGTTCTTGGGGCCGAGGTCACCGTATCCTGCTTCTTTTTCGGCTTCAGAATCTACACGACTTCAGCAGAGGTTTCCTAAAACTTCGGGGTACCCCCTAAATCATAGAAGATTTTTTATGGGATTTTCCATTAACCAACCACAAATTGGGGATCCCCCATGACTATGGAAGCCTTGACCCCGAAACACCGCCCGCCTACCGAGGTCATTGTGTAGCCTCAGTCATCGGGAACTGATGGAAAGCCCCATAACTCACTGGTGTATCATGATGTTTCTCCATTAAGTTATAATTTGATATCATTTGTTCATTGCAGTTTGGCACGGCTTTTGGACCTTATATCATCCAGGTTTAAAATTGTTTAAAAACAAAACAAGTCAACAACTTGAGCGAACAACGAATTTCGGGCTCGGGGGATACCATTTCGCCCTATTTGGGATGATTCAACATGATTCGCCCGAATGGAGGGTTGCTGTGGATTCTTTATCCTGTGGATTTACCACGATACGCATAACCATAAAGACATGGCTGCATGTGGCTGGTACACCCTGCCAAGTAGACATACAAGCAAAAAAAAGTGTTAGGTTAGGACAATCTGGTATGGATAGGTTGAATTTTTTATTTCAGAGGATAGCCATTGCAATCCATTGAATCAACAGTGGACCATGATAGCCATGGGTCAAACTCAAGGTTTCAGATCTATGGACCGTCGGCCAAGGTGCTACAAAAGTAGAAGGAGGCAATGTAGACCCTCAAGGGGCTGTCCCGCGTCCTGGGAACCATGGGAATCACCGGCGGAAAATCTCAGCAGTGCAAATCTGGGTGGGCCTTGTTATATCTTGTTATACAGAACCCAAATCTGCCTAAAATTATGCTAAGAAATCGAAGGCGTCGGTGGAGACATCTTTTCCACTCCAGGATGGCACCATCTCCCTGGCCCCCCATAATTCTTCACGGCCGTGGTGTCAAGCGTCTCAATGCCGAATTCCCGATCTGCAGCTTGAATCTCATCGATCCATTTCGGCACCTCCCGCACCTTAGGAAAACGCGCGGCTTTCTGTTGCTCCTTTCTTCCTTTTTTTTTTGGAAGCAGCTCGGATGAAAACTTGGAACCACCCGCGACGTCGGAAAGCCCCAAATATGTTGGAATGTCAGATGGGTCCAGCAGAAAGAACCCCAATCTTTGAAGGATTTCGCAACCATCAAACATCATCAATCCTTGGAATATCTTCAAATTAGGCATGTTTTTCTGTTACAGCTGGGTCTGTTTCAGGCTGCATTTGAGATGGCTGCAGCTACTGACGTGGCTGCAATGTTTCGGACCGGATTGGGGATGGAGCAAATGGTTGCCCCTCCGAAGCATCGTTCCGGTGGCATCGCATGTAGGATCTGCTTAAAATTGGCCGCAGAAATCGATTTTGGTGCATCGTTAAGAGGGAAACTGATGTCAAGCCATTGGCTTTTAGGGGTACCACCTTTTGGACAAACCTATACAACTACACTCATGCGCCCTATGACTTTGGATGTTGGTTCCAAGTTTCTTGCGGCATTGGATGGGAGCGGATGTTCGGATTACATATCCTTTCGCATTTGTCTTGATCAACCCAAACCTAGGAATTGAACGTTCTTCTCACATCTCCAACTGGCTTGAATATTCCCCAAAAAATGTATAAAGATGACTTAAGATTGTCTCAACCATGGATTTAGCAAAATGAACCCTACTCAAATGGCCAATCCAACCCTTCAACATGATCAATTTCTACCTGAAGAAAACAAAGAAAACACACACCCAGTTAAATTGTTCATTACGGAGCCAAGCGTCGACGCCACCTGCCAAAGTCGCTTGGTCGTCCACCTGGAATGATGTTTTTTACCACCCGGGATATTCCGTGCTTTAGTGGGTCATAATTATAATTGGACTACACACACATATATATATGTACAGTATGTATGTATATATATATATAAATATAACTCATATTATATAATCTATATATATATAGTACCCACTCACCAACTGAGATGCATCCCTCAGTACGGATATTGATATCTCGCAGTCTCAACGGCACAAAGGTCATGGACACGAGTTGCAGTTAAAGATGGGGTGGGCACAACGGCACAACTTATGCTTCCAACGAGGTACAGTTTGCATGCCTCACCCACATCTCGAGGTTGAGCCCAACATCAATCAGTTGTTAATTCAGAATTTGGATTGAATCCTGCATAGAACAAGCTGAACACTGGAATGAGTTGCATGATTTTACCAACCACGAACTTCAACAAAGCCAACATGTTCTGAAGTATCTCCAGTTCTACCAAGGCACCAAATGCAAACACATTGCCCAGAAACACGAGAGCCAATGGCCTCAAAGGCACCAAACACTGTCTTTCAGGGACTTCCATTGACTTCCATCGGTTTCGCTTCCGAAAAGAGGCGAATCCATTCGACGTTGACATTTCAGGTATATTAAATGAAATTCCATATGATACTGAAGCTATCTAAAGCATTCGCTAAACGTTCACTGCGCCAGGCAAAGTGGCAACTTGCGTGCAACTTTAGCAACACACAAAGGCGATTCAAGGCAGTAATCCCCTTCCTAAATATCAAATACTTCCACATATGGGCTCCCAATGCATGACTAGATCCAGTACCAAACCAGGGGGTTCCTGGGTATTTACATACTAAAATGAAGAAAATATGAACAAATATAGACAAAATAATCTAATCACTGGCATATGATTGACGCCAAGGAGCAAACTAGCACTAGACCGAAGAGGAACCGCACCAACGCGATGTGCTGGTATGGTATTGACAGGGCAATCTCCAGCTTATGCAACCTGAGAAGGGCGACCCAGCAGCCCAGCGAGGCAGTATATGTCATCAACAATCTGTCAAGAATAGATCAGCTTGCTCGGAATAGGGATCGAAAAGGAACGGAAGGTTTGAAACAACCATCTCACCAACAAGTTGTACCACTTCTCCTGTCATATCCACATCGTCATAGTATTTGAGAAATAATGCCCCAATTCTTGTGCCCGCAAGGCATCATTTGCTCTAGCAGGCTAATAGCAGGTGCAATGCTTTAGAAACAATAATATCACACACACATATATATATATATATCATATGTGTTTAAATGGTGAAATACGATGACGCTGATTTTGCTATACGCATTGTTTTGGTTGATTGAAGCCAGTCATTGGTATGTCATTGGTTCACGTCTCCGGTGAATCACCATGAATTTGGCAGAAGCTTTGGAAGCTTCTAAAGAGGAGCTACCCCAGCAATAAGAAAGCATGTGGATCGTAGAGCCAAACATTCCCAAGAGTTTTTCATAGTGTTTCTTTCCCCCTTGTTTTTTTCGATGATTGCTAATAAGTGTTTTAACTTTGCAATGTGTTTTCCTTGAACAGCTTTTCCCAACTAGGAAAACCTAGGTTGCTCATATCTTTCAATGGCATTTATATAACCATATAGTTTTTCTATGTTTCTCTCATTAGTTTTCCCATGTTTTCAATTGAAAATCAGCCAGTTCCGTAGTTCCAGCCAGGCACCAACGAGAAGACTTCAGAATTCTCATCCTGGGTGGAACCATGGAGCGACCCCGAATACCGACGAGGGAACGGTTACGCCTTGGTCGTTGAGGCATTGTTCAAGTTAATATCGCTACATAAATTATACTAAATTAAGGTCTTCGCTAATATCCAAGGCAATCCTGAACTGACTGTAGTTCTTTTTCGTTTTCAGCCTTTTTTTTGGTTCGCCCCGTATTTGGCGGAGATATTGATGAAATTCTGATAAATGAATGATAAATTTATGTTCGCACACGACACATATCATCCCCTGCAGGAGCTTCACGGCTAAGGCTGCCAGACATGGGCCAAAACAAGGACATGTCAAAACTGGTTACACCAAAATTTGGATGGTGAAATATCAGAGATGGGTTTCTTTGAGAGTAAGGTGCCACTAATTCCAATGGTTATTGATGTATAATTGTCCTCTTTCAAGTCGTTTTAATTTACCAATTGGAGGGGGTATACCTGATTTTCATTTACCCACCATCCATGCCATCCATGGCGCCTCCGGCCCCCAGGTCTTCCGGGTCTTCCAGGTCTTCCGGGTCTTCCGATCTCCCCGAAAAAAGCGATCGCCAAGGATCAACTTCAAAAGCCTCACGGCCCTGATAATCTTCACAATCTTTAGTTCCTGAAAGGTGAGGAGACCTGGTAGGCGAGATTTCGCCAAGTCGTTTTTTTGATAAAATCTGATAAACAAACATCACTCGGATTTACGGTAGATACATCGAACTAGTTATATAATGTTGTTCTTTGAATGTTTGTCAATGGTTGTCAATGGTTGTTGAAGGTTGTTAATGGTTGTTAGAATGTTTGTTAATGGTTGATAAAAGTTGTTGATGGTTGTTAATGGTTGTTGTTGTTACAAACCAACGCAAAAATACTTCCTGGTGCACAAAGGGTCAAACCTCTGAAGGGATGTCGTTTCCGGGCACTGACTTCGGCCCTTTGGAACGCAGGGTGATCCTGATGATGATGATGATGATGATGATGATGAGGAAAATCATCATGAACATGAGGGTGGATCAGCCCTACATTGGTTCTGCAAATGTTCATGAGGCGCTGTCACTCATGACAATGACTGATGACATACACACACGTACAGAGATGATCACATGTTTGACATGTCTGTCTTCAACTGCAAAGGGCTTCAGAGTTGCTTTACGGAAACATTGTCCGGAAACTGCAGAAACCCAAACATCTTTGTTCATAGTAACAGATAGTAACACATAGTAACACACACACACAAACACGCACACACACACAAAAAATAGTTTTTAAATGGATCCATCCAACTAGTGGCAAACAGCTTCCTCCAGAAGCGCCATCCGTCCTTCAGATTGTCTGCGTTCCAAGTGAGACTCAAGACGTCGAAGGGAATGATGGTCACAAAATCCAAGGGGAACCACGTGAGCAAGTAGTGTCGACCTGAATGTTAGGCTAAACCATATCAAAACCATGGTGGTTCTGATTTTAACGATGTAGGGGGGTCATACGACAAACCTACAAGACTCTTTGTTACTGCAAGAAAGTGGAGATGGCCCCCGCAAAGTGTGCGCATGTTTTAGTCATGTTTCTCATCTGCGTTCTATGTTGGATAGGCATGTCTGTGTGTGTCTAGTATATTGTCTGCGCCCTCCATGCGGACAAATCTGCGAAAAAAGGTCACATAGCCTGCAATAAATAGTGTCACCTTGGTGCAAACCTGGAAAAATCGCAGTGTCTTTCCGCCAAAGAACAGATCTTTCGCAAATCCGTCTCCCACTCAATTCCCCGCGGAGTGGTTTTTGCGTACCTGGCACAGATTGGTGCAGATTGGATGAAATCTTTTGTCCAAGGTAACCAGCGGTAGAACCTGCCCCCAGCGATCCCCAATCTTATTGGATTGGATGCACTCTCAAAGATGCCAAGGCTACACGTTCCGCACATCTACCCGTCATATCCAGGTGGATTGCCTACCATGGGCACGACCTATCAACGCACATACAAGACTACAAATTCACCTTTGTTCACGCTGAAAACCATCTCACCGTCCGACCACGATTTTCGCTCACATTGTGAAGAATTGCAGCACCATGTCAATGGCGAACATCATGTCCACGCCTCACATTCCGCACGTACGAGGAATGCTCGGGATTTGTATGCATTAGCTCCAATGTCCCATATCTGGATACAGGCTGCAAACATTTGCCATGAACAGATGGAGGGATGGGTGCAATGTACCAATGTTTTTCAGAATGCGCTGTTTGTTTTTCAATATCTTAGATGGCCAGCGGAGACTGAATAATTATGAATAACTTATCCTTGCTACGTGTCTTGTATTGTGCCTACGGATCAACAGCTGATATGTTGGGCTCCTGCAGTGCTTGACTCCCAATATTCAAACACAGAACGATGCTTAGAATTGTCCCGAAATGGCCTTATTTCATCTTATTTCAGGCCAGTTAATTATTGAAACAAATGCGAATATAATAATAACAATAAATCGTTAATTAAGCTGCTTAGGCTTACCGATATAGACTTTATTGTATATACAGGAGCATATATACATGTATATAATATACATACATGAATATGCATGTATATACATGTCCTCATTGACGGCCAAAAACTGAACTCAAAGTTTAGCCCGTCTTGCAGCCCAGAAACACCAACTGATTATTTGCAGGAAATCAAGGCGAAGTTCCAGCAAACCCACCTGCGATTTGGCAATTTCCTGTCAAAAGATTGGAGTGTGGTATGCAGTTATACACTGGTGGGATATCATACCAGCCACAACACGTCAGAATTGCCAGCAACATCGCCCAGGGGGTTGCCATTTGGCAACCCCCCGAGTGGCCCATCTTGGTGGTTTGGGGCCCGCCAGTGGCATTGTTTTTTTTTTGGAGCCATCAAGCATTGTCAAATGCAGTAGGACTATCATGCATTGACACATACCATATACATACATCCATATACATACCATATACATACCATATGCATGTACAGTACATACATTTACATACCATATACATCCATATACCTTTTTAGGTCCTACTACATGAAGAAAAACAACACTGACTTTAAACTAAAAACTACATACAAAGAGCTACTCCCTGATTTTCCCAATCCACATGATCCACAGCACCTGAATGGGCGTTACAATGGCCACAAAGGCCATACAAGCGGAGGTGAGAATTTGCCATGCGATTTGGTAAGTGGTATCTGGATTGATCACCTCGGTTTTGGCATGTTTTGGCCGTTCTGAGTTATGAAGGAATTGAAGGAAGAACGAAGCCACTGCAAATGAATACTCCCATCCCCTAATGTGAAGCACCCGCAAGAAACAATGGTTTAACATATTTGGGATCGTTTCGGGGGCATTAAAAAAAGGAGATGGGATTAGTAAAATGTACCTTCCACATCTTTTCACCGGTTTCTGAGAGGAAACATCTTTCAACTCTTTGGCCAAGAAAAAAACTCTGTCAAACTCAGAAAACAACTTCCGCAGGGGCCCATGTTGTAACATCGGAGGCCTAAGAAAGAATCCCTACAGTAGGACCTTTAGATCGACTCCAATATATAAGCGCGGGGGTCACATGTTATTGAATGTTTTCATGTATATACACACGGGTCAAATTCCAGAAGATCTAATCATCTATCGGGTGAAGCCCATCGTCAGCATCGTATCCCAATCAGGCTTCCACAGAATTGTGTGGTGAACAAAAACTTGCGAATATGGCATCCCAAAATAACCCAGGTGAGGATGGAAAACAACCACTTAGCTAGCCAGTTGTATTCAACCAGCTTGTCACTTGAAAATGTCCAATACATGGGTACCACAAAGAATTGATGGAATTTATACCGGGCCCTTGATGGGACTCCCAATGAGTTCTGGGACCCTTACTCCCATAGAACACCCCGATAGAATGAGGGAAGCCTACAGGAGCGGGGGTCCCATCATTCCATAAGTATTTCTGGAACAAATGGATCAAGAATTTGTTGGTACAGTCAAATAGCAAAGTGTTATCGGTGATTGCGATGCTTCCATAGATATTGATTCATCCTCGTATTGCCCTTACCTTGGATATCCTTGGATGATAAACCATGGTGTTTTCAATTGTTTTCATGAAGAACTTCGGTTGGAATGAGAATGACTTGGGAAGAAAATCTCAAGTTCATCCCAAAATGAATTGGAAGTTTGAACCCGCTAGTCACATCCAACTAAATTGACTCTAAGGAAACCCGTCTAAAAAGATCCGTTGTGGTTGTTGGCTTGTGAAGATTCCAAGCTCATGAGTAGTCACAAAAATGTTTGGTAACATAAACCGCTACGTTCATCAACTCAACCAACCCCATATGATTCGTGGTTAAAGCCCCTGTCAATGATGCGTGGGATCCCAATCCAGGTCTCCACGATGGTATCCCCATAAATCCTAAGAAAACCCCCCCAAAAAAAAAAATTAAAAAGAAACGTCAAGCAGCTTTCAATTTGCCATGCCAGAGCTAGACTCCAAGTACCCGTCAAGTACCCGTCAAGTACCCGTCAAGTACCCGTCAAGTACCCGTCAAGTACCCGTCAAGTACCCGTCAAGTACCCGTCAAGTACCCATAGAAATTGCTATGTTGTCCGTCTCGGATCCATCCCGAGGCACAAAGCTTTTGTGGCGTTTCTCCATTTTCCTGGTCTTCTCTGCGCGCATGATCATGAACCTGGGGATGCGTGGCAAGGCGCTGCAATGTTAGGGCCAAAAATCAATAAATAAATAAATAAATAAATGAAATACATAAACTACATAAACTACATAAATATATAGCGAGTGTTTTATTTATCTATCTCTCTGCCTATCTACCTCTCTATCTACCTATCCATCTAATTCTATCGATCAAGCGACACTGGGGCTCAACTGGCTCAAGGTCCATTGACTTCGATGATTTACCTATTAAACATATAGTGATTCTTCATAGCCATGTGTGTAGACATATATATATATATATATATCATACATATTCCGTTAAAAAACACTATTAATTAGATCCTATTAAGTCACCATTTTTCTTGCTTAAATAACATTAAACCACCCTTATATAATCCCAAATAAACTCGCCATTTGGGGGCTGATGCTCTTCAGCCCATCCTCTTTGTTCAAAGGAACTGCAAGCGCTCCTGCTCCGTCGATGCAAACCTGCAAACGGTTTCAAGGTATACTTAAACAAAAACACACAAACATACCATAAATACAATCAATATCTGACAAATCTGACAAGCCATGTTTGAAGAAAACCAATCATGCATTCAAGTCGGAAAACAATTTGGAAAGTCATGGTTTAATATGAATATTGAATCAATATGAATCAACAAATGGAAACCGACTTGGGTTTCTGTAGTTGCTTTTTGCCGTGGAAATTCACCCTGACGTTTTTCAGAAGGGCTGCCTTAGCTTAGCCGAGGCAGCCGTACATTTCGCATGGTGCCATAGATTCAAAGAAACCGGCAAAATCAAATGGAATGTCATGGATTAATTACCCAATAATAAACCAACAATTTGGGATGATTTATAGATATGTATAGCACCTTTTTATGGTGATTTTGGGGAATTCATTGTTGGGTTTCCTACACGAATTGATGTGAATTGCAATTGAACTGCCCAACATGCGACAACATGGCACCACGAAAATTGGGTCTGGGAATTCATTTTCGACATGGCCGTTTGGCCGAAAAAAAGTATTGGTTCCATCTTTGAATTGCGTTCTTTTCCCCATAGTTGCCATAGTTTGCCGGCTAAATCATGGTTTTTCCATGGCAAGACCACGTAAGACCCAAATTTTGCCTCGTTTCCCTGGCATTTCTGTGGTGATTCCCTATAATGTGGGTAAAACAATGTCATCTGCACGATCCCCCACCAAATCACCATAAATTTATAGGTGTTATGGTTACCATTCCCAGGAAAATGGGTGGTTTATGGCCTGGTTTGACGCGTTTTACCCACATTACGTCCACCGGTTCCGGAGTCCCCGGCCTGGCGCTCCTTCCGCTCCGGAGGCTCTTACTCCTTAGAGGTTCACTGAGCAACGTCCCCTATAGGTTGGTTCCTCCAAAGTAAAAGCACCATACCCCACCAATCAGCATCAATCCATCATATAATCCATATATAAAATATGATCCATATATATAAATATATAATGCATATAGCATCAATCCATCATATATATATATATAATCCATATAAACTATTTAGTCTATTTTATAGGATTTCGAATTTCCAAGTGCGCAATTCCATGGTGACATGTCGCGCTTTAGCGCGGTCAAGGCACCGTTTCATCTCCGACTCAAAACTGTGTCGGGTCAACGTTCGCGTCAGTTGTCGCAGCTGCGCTAGGTTGGGCGCTTGGGGCTCCTGAGTCACTCGGAGTCAGAGTTGGTCACTCGGAGTTTCTCGGGGTTATCATGGTTTAATCAAGTTTAATCATATATAATAAACACAACGGGTTTAGATGGGTTTATATAGATGGTTAAGTTGGTTTAGCTGGTTTGGTTGGGTTCGAACCAGCGATATAGTGATTGATCGTCAACTACTGAGGAAATGCTGCTTGTTTTCTGAAATGCCAGGATCTATGTGAAGGACAAAAGTCCCAAAGAAAAGTTTTTGTGGAGATCTGCTGTTGCAGATACGCGCTGCACAAGTCTGCAAAACATCCTGGGAGATTCAACATGGCCGAGACAACTGATGAATTGCCCAGCCCCCATCATTGGTTGCTGGTCTCAACTCACAAATTAAAAATCGGAATGGGAATGACATCGCCACATCAAAGATAGAAACCAATCGATCAATCGATTTATCCATTCCATCCATTCCATGTATCATGTCAGTTCCATCCGGTCCATCTACCCTCCGGTACTCAAAGGTGTTTTGCTGGAAAATCCCTGCCCTAAATGGATATTTCAAGCTGTGAAAATCCTTGAGCTATATACTATATACATTTATAGAATTAATTGAATTTCAAGAAAATCATGTTTGATTACTTTAAAGGGTATGATGATGTATAATGTTTTTATAAAGCAATATGAATATCCACCATCCTCAATTTTACCATGGCTTTCACCATGGGTTGCACCATCCCCAAGTGCCGTTTACCATGGGCGATATGCCATAGCCCAGCGCAGCCGAGGAGCCACCACAGAAGCATTCGCCTCCGAGTCATAGCCTTGAGACGTGAAGACCTGGGACCAACTCCTGGCGAGCTGTGAAAATCTCAAACGATGGGAACATTATGTAATGTATGTAATGTTTGGCAAAACTTGGAACCAAACCTGGAACCCAAACCCAGATATATGTATGGCAAATAGAAATATGTAATGTTTCGTCCTGATTTCTGTAGGGCCTCCCCCCTCAAACAATAGCTATACCCTCTTTAACGTTGGGTGTCAAAAAACTCCTCCCCAGAAAAAAATACGATCCCGCATTTAAGTAAGGATTTCAATTGGCGACAATTGAAATCTTTGTTTTTTTTGCTGATGAACTTGTATATTGTAGTACTTGTAGTAACTTGTTGCATGTTGATTGCGTTACCTGTTCCACCTTATATATGTTTTTTAATTTAAAATATGTAATAAGAGAAAGAGAAAGAAAAAGAGAAAGGGAAAGAGAGAAAGAGAAAGAGAAAGAGAAAGAGAAAAAGGAAGAGGAAGAGGAAAAGGAAGAGGAGATTTGGCAATTCTCATGATAGATACGTTCACCCTCTGGTACAATCCAGGTTGCTCTGGAAAATCACCGCTTTTAAGAGCTAGATCATGAACAACTCAATATGCCATCAAAAAGTATGTACGCAAAGTGTGAAAAAGATACGGGTAATGTCAACCCCGGATTAATCAACCATGTTTTTTTAATTAGGGGTATTCCTCCAATAGTCATAATCTAATACTTACATGGTACCCTCCCAATTAAACAACCGTTTGGGGTTTTCTTAATCCAGGGTTGACATTAAATCACTGACTTCCCAAGGAATTCCAGGGCCCAGCTTGGGTCGCCTGTAGGAGCCGCTGGGTCGCCGATCGCTGCGCAGGGACTGATTCAGGGAGGGCCGCCGCTCGACGATGGCACGCTCCGACAAACCCTTATCGGAGAGGTGGCCTGACGGTGGGGCTTAAAGGACCCAATAGGATATACGTTTAGATATGGAAAACCCATAGTTTCCCTTCGAAAATGATCTGCACATGGTGGGTTTTCTTGTCTATGTTAGTTTATTGGAAGATAATCATACTTGGGTTCGTCTGATAATGGTGTCTATCCTCCAATGTTAAATTTAAATGGGGAAAATTAACCCATTGGAATTAGAGGTACCCAAATTTTAGACAAACCCATTTCAAAGAAATCGGAGTTATAGTTATTTGATGGTAGACTGGTAGACTTGTCTATTTGCAGTGTATATATATATATATAGGGAGAGAAAGAGGTCTGACCAATACCCTATGTTATATCACCCATAGACGTAATATGACATAATTATACGTAGTTAGAACCTAATGGTGCATCCCATTTAGCAAGTGGTCGACAAATATCCTGACGACCAATGCTCAAAATTGTCATGTGTCGGGCTGAAGCATACCGACTGGAACTACTGGAACGATCATCTACACACAAAAATCTACGAGGAACGATGTTTTGCTTTTACCATCCACATATGGTACTGCAGTACTGCAATTTTTCTGCAAGTTTCCCATATGTCATATGTTGGCTGGGTGATGATCATCCGTAATTCCTGAGATCGAGCCGCCCACCGCAACAAATATGTATTCATCATTTTGTGGTAATAATCCCGTTCTTAAGAAATGAACAGACATGAAACAAAACTATTTATCCAATCATATTTCCGTTGTGGATAATCCCATCCTTGGACCAACCCAAAAGAAATTTGGACCCACTTATGAAGCTCATTCAAGCTTACAGAACCCCCACAAAATCGAAAACGACATGGGAAAGAACACATGTATTCCCCAAATAGTCCCAAAATATCTGGTCTCATCCCTACATCCACCGTGTTTTTGATATTTTTTGATTGGCGCTTTTTTTTTGATATCCAAAAAAACAGAAAGGGATTATATATGATATCCATGGCGATGCCATGGCTTCCTAAATCCATGGCTTTTCATGGCGATTCCGGCGCCTGCTTCGAGCTCCTCAGGCGCTTCCCAGGTCTTCGCCGCGCCCTTGCTGTGCAAACGCCGGTCCAATGGGAGCCCTGTGGATGCGCCGGGGGATGCGATGTCCAACCGGTGCACGTGACATCACATATACAGTACATGTGCAACTTATTTGCATGATCAAACATGTATACTGTAACTAATTACTATTATACCACCCAAAAAAAAACAGGTAAACACAAATTCAAGAGCATTCTGCTTACTTGCACCAAGGTTTTCATCAAGGATTCACATGTTAAACAAAGCATGACATCCCAAATCCTCGCCCTCACTAGATGATGACCAAAAAATCAGCAAGTCAGCAGCGACTGGGTCCGATTATTCCAACCACAGTCCCAAAAACGAGTTATCCAGAATTTACCATCACTTTCAATAGTATATCACAATCTTCTCATCGGGAGTCTGGCATTTCCATGGGCGTCTCCGGAAAAGACAAGGGGCCTTGTGAGGAACCTCCATTGAAGTCCATGCCAGGATTCACAAAGCCTAACGGATCCATGGCCACCAGTCCAGAATATTGAAAAACACACTATAAGTGGTTCATGCTGGTCCAAAATCACAGCAACTTATTTCGTAACCCAATCCCCACAACAAATGCCCCCTGTAGTATACCCGGTGGTTTACTTGTGGATCTCTTCATTTTGGGGTCCCATATAGGATATTAAAAAAATGTGGAAAAGAGAAATTAGATACTGATAATTGCGATAAAATCTCAGTTATAATTCCCTTTGATGTTTTTCTTTACCAACTGAAACGAAAACGGGAGGACGGGTTGATCCAAGGACACTGAACTCTACAAATCATCCAGGCCAAAACAAAGGTCTAAATATGGCTGACCGGAAAATACGCCATGGTGGCCGCAAAAGTAGGAGACACGGAGACACGGTTGGTACCCTAAGGATCTCTAAGGTAAACTAACATCCACGTGGAAAACCCCTAGTTTCTCTACAAATCGTTGGCTTTCCCACATCCTCAGCTGAATCTCGGCACATCGAGCCGCCTTGGTCAGGAAAACCAAGCAACCTGAAGGAAGCGGTGGAAAATCAACCATGGCTGTCTGGAAAATCCATGATAAATGATCAATGGAGGTTTTAAGATGCAGTTAGCATTATTTAGCTGGGACAATCATCTATAGCTGGAAAATTGTTCATTTTTTGATGGTACCTGATGGTTACGGCAACTTTGAATTCCGCAACTTGTAGTTCATGGGGATGAATCCTGGTGTCAATCTACATTGCTACATACTGCGGAGCGGGTCCCAACACATCACATCCAAAAACAATAGGTTTTAATCGAATAATATGTACTGCAGAAATTTCAGGACTCATTGAAGAAACAACTAAATACATCTAAATACAGTGATGTGTGGTTTGTGTGTGTGATTCCAACCTAGCAGCTAAGCCTGTCGAGAGTATCTGCATGTATTTCAAACATTGCAACATTTAGACCTTAGCAGCCATGCCTGCCTCAGAACTAGTATAGATGTAAAAGCGCGGCAACCTTTTCAGATCTTCATCTCATCACTTCTGACAGTACTGAAAATACAATGGCATCAAACCCCAACAAGGGTATGCATCATGTAATGTAATGTTTCATGTAATGAAATATAAAGCAGTGTAATGTAATGTATTTTTATGTTATGGTATCTTGTATGTACGTCTGTCTGTCTGTAGCTAGATGGGTAGGTATATGCAAATGCCAAAAAAATATGCATACACGTACCACATCATCTTCAAACATGGGTTTACATAGATATCTATTTATCTATCTATGTGTCCATCTATGTGTCTATCTATCTATCTATCTATCTACCTACCTACCTATCTACCTACCTACCTACCTACCTACCTACCTACCTACCTACCTACCTAATCTATCTATCTATCTACCTACCTACCTACCTACCTACCTAATCTATCTATCTATCTATCTGCTTATGTATATCTTGAATATGTGTATATATATATAAACATATGTAACTGGCATGTAGGATTCATTTTGTAACAAGTCAAGTCACAGCCCCCTCCTTTCCTGGCCTGGCATTCTCCAGCTCCAGCTCCCGCAAGCGGGAGGACTGGCGATGCAACTCATAGCAGAGTTGGTCGGCCACGTGTTTGAAACGCTCCTGGGCCGCGGCTGGAGTCATGCATCATGCTTTGGCACTGGGGCACCGGCTGTTATTTTTGTTAATATTTCTATATATATATATATATATACATATGATTTTGAAATAGTGGGGAAGGCACACTGTGGAAGTGACCGCATGATTTCTAAGTGGATAGTCTGGATAGTTCCACGTTCTTTGTGGGCCACCAAGTCTGCTGGGGAGCCCATCTATCATTCCCACTGATGCTTGGAGTATTCCCCACTTCGAAATGATGCTCCAAAACTGGTACTCAAAAACATACTTAGAACTTAGAATCAGAATTTCAGAATCTATATTTTTCCCACCAATATTGACTGTATAAATGATACATTGCCAATGTTGAACACATCCCTCTTCTGGCATCCACATGCGCTGTTGTGTTTGTTGCTTTTGAACCAACCCTGAATGCTAGTTCGAAATGTAATGATGTATATATATAATTAGACATGTAACAAATATGTGTGCGTTTAAAATCTAATTATTAAGCGATCCTTCTCAACCAACTGAGCAATTCCGAACTCAGGCACCACCTTGTTGGAAGTCCAGTACCCGGCACCGACCAAACATAAAATCCTATCGCTGTTCCCAAAATCAATGCACAATAGCTTTCACTACACATTTACCTCAGAAATCACCAACAACTATTTTTCATTGAACGAGCACAGATTGGTATCGGGCCACCCTCACATGGTTCCATTGGTGCATGGTAACCTACCAAGCCACATATAGGGGAAACACCAGGGTACCGGAGTCACATTCACTACACTGGCCCATCGAAGTGGCATTCACCAAGGTTTACCTAAACTGACCTAAACTATTAAAAATAAAGCAGTCACCAGCTACAGTAGTCAGTTAGTGTATGAATATAGATAGACAGACAGACAAACAGACAGATGGATGGATGGATGGATAGATAGATGGATGGATGGATGAATGGATAGATGGATGGATAAATAGATAGACAAATAGATGTGTATATATATATATAAAAATAGATAAGTTGGTAGATAGATATAATGTACCTTAAAAGATCAACATGATTAACTAAGCTGATGAAGATTCCAAGGTGTCCACGATATAACTATACACTCGCACAAGCTTGTAGGATAAACTACTTGATATGCGTAAAATCATGCTACCATTATTAACCCATCAATGGGAATTTCAGGACCCTAAAATAAAGCTGCGGCATAATATACAGCAATAGAAATCAGGGGCATATCCCCTTACATAGCTGTAAATAAATAGGCCTTATCTGTGGTAAAGGTACCTCCAAACAATCGGTACCTGAAATGGCAATAGAAATATAGACAATATTGTTAGAAACAGCAACCTATAATTAATACTAGAGTTAAATATATATATATATAAACATTATTACTAATAATGATAATGATTGTATCATATATACTAATTATCCATTATTACTATCACATATTAGTAAGAATTAACACCTTATCATCCTTATCTAATAATGATAGTATTTACCATCTGGTTATTTAACATAGCCATGGAAAATCCCAACCATAAATGGAGGTTTCTAGCTGGTAAAATCATCTATTTCTATGGTCCATTTTCCATGGCTATGTTAGATAACCAGAGGGTATATGTATTAATGTCCCCTTCAAAGGCTTGTGTCAAGTGACTATCAGTTCCCCTGAGTCGCCCATGGTTTTTGAGGCAACCGCTGGCTTTTGAGCCCCGAAGCGAAGCGAAGGGAAGCGAGTCGCGAGGACGATGGTCGGTTCAATCAATCACCGTTGGTGATAGTTAAATCCTAGATATATGATATATGATATATCCCGTCTAACCATATTTAACATTATTTAACCCCTAGTGACTAGTGTTGTTGGTTACATTCTATTACCCTCGTGTAAACTGACATAGCTATGGAACAATGGTCCGTTGATCCGGTTACAGATGATTTACCTATTGAAAAAAATGTGATTTTCCATAGTTATTGTTAATTTAACTCAGGGTATGGTAGATTTATCTTGTGGGCGTGCCTATAGACCTTAACAATAAAACAACTGAGATATGGGGAGGATGATTGACGCTGTCATTTGTAATTGTGTCGACAGTAGCGTTGCCAACAAAAACATGTATGGCAACGTTGCACATGATCTGCAAACATTGAATGTGTCTTCTGATATTCCTCGGGTTTGATGCTACTTGTGCAATGTTCTCCCAATGCTCACCAGTCTCCAGACAGTTCCAGACTAACTGATGTTACTGATGCTCATATCCATTTATATATATATATGAACGCAAAGTTAGCCACTTCTGTTCTCACCTGATGATAAGCTCAAAAAATGAACATACCCAAAATTCTGGCAGTCAAAAATATGCGGATAATGAGAAGGGGTTCTCTCTTGAAGTTTTCTCAAACATGTCGAATAAACACACATCCCCAGTCCCTGCCCCAAGCTCAGCCTATTTTTTCATTTATATACATCCATTTAGGACATTTAGGGCAAATAAGAGCCACGAAGCTATCACACAGAGGTGAGATCTTCTCACAAAAGCAAACACAGTTGTCCAAACACTTTCCAAAAACAAACCCAAAATTAAGGTTTCCTAGGTCCTAGGGTTTCCCAAAATGGGGACCCCAATGTGGATGTCTTTGGCAAAATGACCCAGCACCTGACATTCGCCGCCTGCTTAGCGCAGCCCTGGGCACGTTCGGAGCTGGGTCTGTTTCCGAGACCCAAAAGCAAATCCAGTTTTTACATATTTTACACCATGACACCATGACATTGAATTGATGGCAATTACCATGAATGGCAAAAATAGGTCCAGAATGATTCGGAGATGTCTTCTGTTTCCCTGACACCTTGCAGTGACAAACGTGCAATGGGAAGGGCCAAACCTACTTGCAATGCAAGCAGCGGTGGCACAAAAATGCACGGTGACAACATGGCGCATAATGTTGTATATTTATTGTACATGAGCAAGGATGGGGAAAAAAACATTATCTTGACTAATTATCTTGATTGCCATTATTCTAACTATGATAACAAAAACATGGAATAATTCTTACTTCAGACAAGGACATTGCCGTCCGGCTCCCATTGGTCCCGTGCCCTTCACGACCCTATCCCCGGCACCTGGCAGTGCAGGCGAAGGCGAGCAAGGAGAAGTGCCTCGGAGGTTTTGGCAATGGAACATCAGCATTTTTGGGTGACCGTGCCATGGTCAAAAACATGGCGCCTTCTGGCCATCTAAGAGTATGCTATTGGACATGGCCATTTTATGCCATTTTGAACTAGTTGATGTACCGAACTCTCTATGTTAACTTACCCGGGAGTATATGACTTAATGTTCGGAATTCCTTTTAATGGATATTCGCTTCGGCCGCTTCATGGTTTGCACAATCCAACTCGTGACCATTGCACATCTATTCATACACACTTAAGTATAGAAGGTATTGGTGGGTCCGTAATATTCTGTCATGAAGTTGGCTTCTAAGGAGGAAATCTTATTTATGTGTTTTTTTTAAAAACAAGGAAATGAATTGGTGGTTTGACCCCATCTGGAATCGTTATCCCAAGGCACTGAGAAAAAATGCCAATGCCATGACCTAAAAATAGCCGTGATCTTCCATAGATATGTGAAATTATACCAGAGGGACCAAAGGGTATATCATGGTATGTCATTAGGTGGTAAGCTACCTCCAACCATGCTCATAGCACATCTATTCACCTAGCAAAATCATTTTTCCCCACCTGCCAGGTGAGGGTTGTTAGATTTTATGTCAGTTGCTTGCTCCTCCTCCTTCTCCTCCTCCTCTCCTCGTCTCCTCTCCTCGTCTCCTCTCCTCCTGCTCCCTGCCGGACCTCAACCACGACCATCCACGCCCAGTGTGCCCTGCCGGACCTCAACCACGACCATCACCGCCCAGTGTTCCCTGCCGGACCTCAACCGCGAGTATCCACGCCCAGTGTTCCCTGCCGGACCTCAACCACGACCATCCCCGCCCAGTGTTCCCTGCGGGACCTCAACCACGACCATCCACGCCCAGTGTTCCCTGCCGGACCTCAACCGCGAGTATCCACGCCAAGCGTTCCCTGCCGGACCTCATGTAGGAAGATAAAATGTCAGATAGAGTGCCAGAAGATTTGCCAGGTAGAATGCCAGAAAATATGCCAGAAGATATGCCAGATAGATATGCCAGATAGATATGCCAGAAGATATTCCAGAAGATATGCCAGATAGAATGCCAGAAGATATGTCAGAATATATGCCAGAAGATATGCCAGAAGATGTGCCAGTAAGAACATGTATAAATGTCATGGTGGGGATCACACGAAGTAAAGTAATTTTTTCCAGTGCTTAGATTCTGAGATTCTACCAATATTTCTGCCATGTTCTACCCATCCTAAGCCTGATATTGACTTACCCCGATTTCAGTGATTGAATCCTTGATCTTTCAAAGGGCACCCAACCCTATCCAACCACCATGTTTATCCATGTTTGGCATTGCTGTCCTCCTTATGAATGTCTTTCAACACCCATAGTTTCTGTTGCTCAGCTTAAATTGTTGCT